AGCTATGGCCTAAACCCATTTAAAGATCAAATTTTAATGACTGAAGCAAGTGGACTTACAAACTTTCTATTTTCCTACTTCCCATATTTTCCCCAGAAAAGCAACCAAGTAAATAGTGCGGCTTTATTTGACCTCTGGCTAGACAAAGATGGAAAACTTCCAGGAGGGAGAGGTCAAACATCTACTCTCTATCTTATGATTTGCTTCTCCAGTACCCCACTCCCAAGATACCATAATGTATCAGTTCCTTCCCAGGCTATAATCAATGTATTGATTAGGGGGAAGTCATTCAGGAGTCCCCGGGTGATATAAGTGGTGAACACACATAATGGCTAACCTAAAGGTTGGAGGTTCAAGTTTATCCAAAGGTGCCTTGGAAGAAATTTTATCTACTCCACAAAAACTAAGCCACTGAAAACCCTATGTACCAAGCACAGTTCTAGCCTGACATACCTGAGCCACCATGAAGGGAGGTCGCCATGAGTGAATCAACTCAATAGGAAGTGATACTGTCATCTCATGGGTCAGGGCCAGGGAGAACCAGGTGACTGCTGGTGAGCCTATGGGCTTCACTGGTGTTTGCTACCTGGGCCACTGTGTGGAGGCTAGTTACAGATGGCAGCTAGCTTCCCCCAGCAAGGATGCCTTGAGAAAAAGGAAAGGAAAGATGGAAGTAAGATTCTCTGTAATATCATCTCAGAAGTGACATCTGTCCTAGCTTGTTAGAAGCAAAGAGTTTTATGGAAAGAGAAAATCATGAACCAGGAGACACCCTGCGCCCCCACCCCCCCCACCCCCCCAAGCAGGCTCCTTTAGTGTCTCACTTTGCAAGAAGAGAGTGGGTTTTTTTATTAAGTGGAGTAAACAAATGGCTGTGTGCCATAGGCAGATGGGTTTAGAAGACCAAAAGTTACCTTGTGGTTGTTAAACTACAGCACTGAGCATGACCAGTTCTATCCTCTAACTTCTGGGAATGTGTTGACCAAGGCATTCCTCTTGGATAATGCCACAGCAAACAAGCAATTCCTTGAGCAAGTTCATTTGGACCCTGATCTTTTTTTCGGTTGCCTTTCAGATGGCTCTGAATTGGCGCAACACACAAAGCATGGTGTGGGCTGCACGATCCGCACCATTGTTGGTGTGTCTGATCCATTGTTGAAGCAAGTGGGGCA